CGCGCAGACTGCGTGTGCGCTGCAGCGCGTATTCATCCCCGCCACTCCGTGTGCACACGCCCGTGTGCAGCGCGCCGGGCAAGCGTATGCGTGCGCGTATTGCGTGTGTGCGTGGCCAGGGGCGCGCGTGCGGCCCCTCAGCGACCTTGAGCCTCCTCGATCCTCCCGCGAGCCCCTCCCCACTTCTCTGCTCTCCTCTCGTCCCATGCGCAATATCTCCCTCCCCTATCACCGCTGCCGCAATTGCTCTCTCTGTCTTTCTCTGCCGCGCTCTTTCCCTCCCCCTCCCTTTCGCTTTCCTTTGCTCCAAGCGCCACGCAGTCAGCGATGGACTCGAGACGCGTTCGGAATTGATTGACCGTGAATGTTGAATTTTTGGGTTACGTCGGAGAGAGAGTTAGGTATGTATGTTATAGGAGCAGAGTTCTTTCTAGAGATGGCTTCGTGAGATTTGGATTTCGATCGAATGTAGCTTAAATTAAAAAAAGTATGATTGAAATACCGATTTACTTTTTATAAAAAAGAATATTGCAATTGTGATATAATAAGATTTTGATAGCTGATTTTATTTTTCATTTACATCGATATCCAAAACATTGATTTCGACAAGTATTTCAAATGATGAATATGATTTACTCAAATCTATATTATCAAAACCAATATGTTTATTTCATTATTATTTAAATTAAGAAAATTTTCTACATATTTCGAATATTCAAATAATGAAATTATTTGTAAATTCGTAGGAAAAACCATTGCTAAGCGCCATGCAAACGATACTTGAACAACTAAATTTCCATCTATCTTCTCTTTCGTCCTTTCTCTATTCGTTTTCATACCCCTCCCTTTCATTACTCTTTGCTGTTACGTCCCTCTCTCTCAGGTCTCTTTCTCTCTCATTTCCCCACAACTCCTACGCTCTTTCCCCTTTACTCTTCTGTCCCCTCACGAAGCTCGTCTCTTGCACGCACGCACGCAATACCGTAGCAGGGAGTGCACACTAAATTTTGGCGGACCAGGAACGTACTCAACAATGTTCTACGATGGTGTCATCTCTGAACGTGGAATTCGTAAATTTTCCTTGAATCGCGTGATAAATAGTTTTAGATTAGAATCTTTGATATACTTTATAATGATATACTTTTCGTTGTTTCTTTAGATGGTAGTCCGGAAGTTAATCATGTATGATTTATTTTCACATGTTGATTTATGTGAGAATCAACATATTAGTTGTATTTTATATTTAAAATCTCAATGTGAAATTTCTTATAAATGTATTGCTTACGAATGTTCAGTTCTACTCTCGTCTGAGTAATACGGGGTACGTTCTACTTAAACGTTCCTTCATAATATAAATATGAGTTTTAATAAATCTAATCTATATTATCTTGTTCATATTTTTAATTATAAAAATATTCTTTCGTTTTATAACTATTTGATATTTTATAAAAAATCCTATATTGATAAAAAAGAACTTGAAATCTACTTTTAATAAATATTTAAAATACACATACATGGAAATAAACTTTATGCAGATGTATTCTCTTAATCACGTATTTTGATATTAAAATTAAGAAATTTTTAGAAATATAATCTGATTTTTATTGTCTTATTCTAATAATTTAAAAATAAAATAGAATGCTATGAATTATTTACATAATGATATTTTCATAACCAATTATATACACCTTGTCATATTAAGAAATTTGGCGTAAAAAGAAAACTTAAAATAAAAAAATATCATCAAATAATGAAACTATTTAGAACATAATTTGTAATTTTCGCGCAACTAACCAGAAAGGGTTATTGTCAATATAGAGAGTGACGCGAGTTGGTCATTTCGTTCCGATTCACTCAACCGCTCGTAAATTCTCTCCATGACCTCACTCGAACACGCGCCTATATATTTCAAAGCAACAAAGACACAACTTATTACAGGGCGTAACTGCAATTTTTATAACTGTGAATACTTTCTATGAATACTTTTGACGCTTCTCTTTCATGATTCTTTCTTAAGGTCGAAATCAGTCGCGTTACATAAGGCGTGGCACACGTGTGTGTTCAAGAACATCGTTTACTTGTCATCGAACTCTTTATGTAGTCACTTATGTTTGTCTTTCAAGTTTCGGCATAACCTAAGACAAATATTCCTTAATACTTTGAGTTTGAGCATTTTTTATATTAATGGGCAGTTTTTTATAGTTTTCTCGAATCTGACTTTGTGATAATTCGTTAAAAGGAGTTTGAAGTAAAAAGTCTGTGCGATTAAGATATGAAAGCGTGAAAATTAAATTCGTTACGATTAATTTTCGTAAACAACCAAAATTTGCTGAGTAACGTGATAGTTTCTAATGGACTATTCAACAGAAGTTTTTAGAGATAGATAATTTTTGTGATAAATGTTCAGCAAAGATGTTATTAAATTTTTTTATATTTTATTGAAGTTGGAAATTTGGAAATCTGTGATTATCGGAAATAGAATGGTGTTAATAGAAAGTTTCAAATAAGAGAAATCAAGAATTATTATTTGTTCAATTTAGAAATTAATAGTTCTAATTATTTGGCTAATTTTTTGACTCATGACAAATGTAAACTATTTCATATAAACATTTTGACATTTAGAAATATATGAGAGAAATAGAATAAAATTTGAAACTTGAAAATTTAACTACATAGCAATAGTGTATATAAAAATAAATTAGAAAGTTAAATTATACAATTTTATCTATATCATTTATATATGAAGTATTAGAAAACTTGTTTTAGACTTTTTTAATATATTTTCATAATATTATATTTTACAACTGTTTCAAATCAATATCATATTCATATCCAAAAAATTCGAATCGATGCCAATCTCTCTATCCAAAGTAATCGGTAAAAATTGAAAGACTCAACGATGCATTCTCGGTCAGTTCTGCATAATCCACGGCCGATTAAACTTTCCGATTGGCAGTGACGTAATCGTGTGATCTGTAGTAACGAAGCCAAAGCGTGCAATCGTGATCCCTTCCACGTCTTGAATCGTTTTTGCCAAGTGGCGCCACGTTTTCGCGTTTCGGCCCTGACACGTGTTAGATTAGAAAGTGGCGGGGATGCGCGATACCTTAGAAGCGTTAGAGAAGGGGATGGAATATATCGTGAAGGAATGACAAAGAGACAAAATGACAAGGAAGAGACGAAACTAGACGAAAAGGACAAAGACAAAGAGCAATGGGGAGGAGAAGGAGCCACGCCGAGAATAGAAAGAGATAGAAATTAGTAGTGACATAGAAGAGGGGGTACAGAGCGCTACGCGAACTAAACTTCTAGCCTTAAGCAATCTCGCCCCACCTCGTAAAAGTCGAGTCTTATACTCCCCTCTCCCCTACCCAGTTCTTCCTTCGCCACCAACGATTCCCCTCCTCCCACCTACGCGACCTTCCCTCTTCTTCCACCGTACTACCGCCACCCGGTCCCCCGAAAGTACACCGAACTCACACTATTTCGTCTAACCGCATTTGCATCGGCACCGATGACCCATATTCACGTTCTTCCTCCACGCAGCGATACTGCCATCGATTCCTCTTCTCTTTTCTGTCACTCCTTTCTCTCCTCGTATAGTCGATCAACCGATCATTCTTTCGCGCGCATATACCATCCTCCTCACCATCGTTGTCACCGTCATCTCTGTCGCTCGCTGTGAGCAGAACGGAAAACGAAGAACGAGGACGCGCGCAAGAGCAACGGAGACAAAGATAGCGAGAGCGTACGCCATCGTCAAAGAGGGAAAGAGAGGGCGGACAGAGTTACGCGCGATCCGATGCGCGATGCAAGTCGGTGACTCGATTTCGGCCGGGTAAGACTACCGTGATAGACTCGATTCCTCAGTGTGTACGCGGCCAGTGTTCAGATACATTACCGGTAGAAGGTACCACGCGTCTTCAATCCGTTCCTCTTCTATTCTCATTCGTTCCTCGTACGGTTATTCGTGGCTCGAACACCAACAGGCGACGTCAGTGCGATCGAGGACCACTCTCGCGGAGGATCATGTGCCGCGTGGACACGTGTACGCGGTGAGACCGGTGCGGAGACTATACTACTCTGTTTAGTGAATTCGAACGATAAGAAAGAATCAAACAAACGTGCATCCTGTGTGACCCTGAAGTGTGATCCGAAACGTGTACAATTGTTTGTCACGGATGGTGCGCGATTATCACCGATGTATCGGTGTTGAGGTTGATTCGAGCGGATGGTAATACAGTTCTAAGCATTGGTAGGTTTTGCTCGAGTTTTTATCACTCGTACCACGGAAATCCGGTTCCATTGTGATTCGGAGACAAGATTTATTCGATATATCGATTTTCAAATGATTCGTTGCTCTGATTGACTGGATTAATAATAAATTCATTAACGGCACGATTTTTTTCTGACGAATGTTGTATGTATATATATATATATATATGTATATTTTGGTATCGTGACACTTAATATTTCAATGATTTTTACTTACGAATAATACACTTATGGACACGTATTCGATAAAATTTTTTTCAGTCGATATACGATTATATTTTAAAATTTAGATATCGTTATATATTTTGTTTTAGTGTTTTTATATTTGTCGTTTTTATACGTACGAATTTTCGAAGGATAGTTTGTAAAGAAACATTGCTTTCTGTACTACAGCTGAAAGAACTGTTGGGCACGAGCGCGATCAAGAAGGAAAATACCTACTTGAAGGTGGCAGAGACAGGGGTGGCGAAGGTCACGGGGTCGAGCCTAGGGGTGGCATCATGGACTCTCACCAGCAACAGTTTTGTCTCAAGTGGAATAGTTTCGGTAGCAATTTAGCGACAGCATTCTCAAATTTGTTCAAAAGCGAGAGTCTTACCGATGTCACCCTATTCTGCGAGGGTAAGTTCTTTCAATTCTTACAATTATCACGGTAATAAACACGAAAAAAGGAAAAACTTCTGCAAAACGATACGCGATCGTAAAAACAAAACTGCACAACGTTTCTTAATAATCCGATTCTTTTCAACAAAAAATTTTCGCTACCCGCCTCGAAAATAACGAACGTTCGAATCGCTTAATCCGATTTCCATCGACCCACTCATATCGATATCGTACGATTGCAGTGACAACACGATATTTCGAACAGTAACCTCGTTTTCTTCGCTTATCAGTTAATAAAAAGATACGAAAATTTTCGTATCGCTACGAAAAACAATCGCATCTCACGTGTGTTGGAAACCTCGTGCGCCTCCATGTCTGATCAAAGCGGCGCCATCACTCCTTAACGCGCGAACATGCTCTCACCTGTCGACCTCATGCATACACATATGCAGCCGGCTGCACGATTCGCGAGCCGGTGCACGTGTACGACTGCAGCCGAAGTGCACCGGGCGTCGATTGCCCCGCCCCTACCCCTGTTTCGTCCAATCGCGCGGCGTGAGTCGTACCACTCGCGCAGAGTCAGTCGGCATGCATGCGAATCTCCGCCGTCCTTGCACATCGTTCTATATACGTTCTATATATATACGTGTCTGTGTGTGTGTGTGTTAATACAAACACGTGCAGCGTGATACTAGTGTGCGCAATTCCCCCCATGAGACGAATGCAACATTCTTACGGATTCGTCCGTGCAAAACCGTGCAGTTCGCAGCGAGCCGCGGTGCAATGCGCTCATTGCATTGCGTCGTTCCTCGTGCGTGTGACGAACGCGTCGTGCATTCGATCGATCGTGGAACGCTCTTCGCAAAGAGTTTGTAAAAAAAAAAAAAAAAAAAAAAAAAAAAAAAAGAAGACGAAGAAGGAGGTGTTTTATGTTTGCTCCAAAGATAAAAAAGTGTTATGATTGCGTTAAAATTTTTTATCGTATTGCGTTTATTGCAGCCATAATTGTGTGATACGAAAATAAGTCGCGAATAACGGTGATTATGTAATAGTGCTTCGACATTGTTCCAATGTTTTCACCTCGATTTGAATTCATTGTTTATACATCGTAGCGCAACGAATGTTGGTAATCACATTGTGATCGATGATTCCTTAATGAGCAACTTATTTCATTAATACAGAAGAAAAAGGTATGAATATGGATTTCTTTAAAACGGTAGAATATCTCATATGGAGTTATCAAAAAAATATTTTAATAAAAGTTGTTTGGTTCAAAATAGATTTATCGCGTGCGAATTATTTTTTTACAAAATAGAATATATAATTTTCGATTTATTTGAGTATTCCGTATAAAAAAATCGTATTAAAAGATATTGTAACTCGAATTTTATAAAAAACTTTTTATAAAAAGAAAAATAAGGAATACGCATTGCGATATACTTTTTATGCTTCTTATCTTTCACATGATAAGTTTTACAAACTTCAAATTAAATCGATTAATGCAATTCAAAATTATATAATTCCATATAACAAATGGAATCTCCTTCATTCCATCATACAATTCTCCCCTTTGAAATTTTTATTAAAACATTCTTTTGATAACTTCGATCTCTCGTTCGATTTAAAGAAAACACATTTACATATACTTTCGATATATACGATCGAAACGATTTTCTTATTTTTCTTATGTGATCTTCATGTTACGTGATATTCAATAAGCATACACTAATACTTTCACATTCTCGATGAAATAAAAAATTGTCGTAAAAAACAAACGATTGACTCATTGCGTGCAATGACTTACACGCGAAGGCTTACAAACGCTTTTACGATTTCAGTAAAATTTCGTATGACATATCAGCAACAGCGATAACGGTAGATACTGTGTACAAGATAGATATTAGTCGCTTTATCGCACATTGGATAAACAAGAATGTGCAATTTTCGTGGCACGAGTTTCTTTCGCGTTTTTCTCTTGCTTTCCTTATCTTCTTGTCGCCGAGCGTCGTTAGATCGACAAGATACAAGAATAAGTAAAAAATCAAATGAAATATTTCGTTAGTTCAACACACACTGCACTCCATGTTATCGTATAAATTCTATCTTTGAATATAAAAATACGAATGCGTGGATATTGGTGTCAGCTCGATTCGATATAACGACGTTGAAATGCAATACGTAGAGAAAGTTGTGAGCGACTCGTATCGATCGATTAATCACTATCCCTCGCGAAGACCGTAGAACCGCATGCTTAATTGGTTACTTGGCCCACCACGCGCTGTTTTTTTCTTCTTCATGATCGAACAGAGACTAACTGTGCTCGGTCTTCTTTCGCTTGGAAATGGATAACGTAATCGATGAAAGTTGATACGACGATTGAACAATCGAAGATTGTGTATATATATATATACATATATATGCATATATATGAAATTAAAATTTGCGAGGCAATAATTTGTTGATCAACGTAGTCGATCGTTTTAATCGATGAGATATTATCTT